AGCAGGAATTCTGCAGTTTTCTGCCTCTCACTGTAGCAGGAGGATTCCTTCTTTTTGTCCCATTGATATTGCATTTACTTCTTCAATGCTGGCAAGAGCAGAATGAATACTGGCTAGATTGTACAGCCCTACTGCAGATCTGTGTGGCTGTATTAGAACTAGATCCCCTGAGTTGCATTTTTTTAAAGCAAATAGTATCAAAATATTGCTTGATGGGAGATACAGTAGATATCTCATTAACTCATTACTTCACAAATGTAGGGGTTTATGTATCTGTTTTTTTCTAGCACTGCTTATTGCTCTTCTAGCACTGCTTAATCCAGTTATGTTACTTCCTTGCCAGCTGGAGCGGCAGAAAAGTACTAGGCTGCTGCAAGGGTCTGGAAACTCCAAAGGTGCCCATTGGAAATTCTTGTGTCTATCACTGTCTTATTATGAAATAACTTCAGGAATCTGTAAACAAATTGGGCTTGGCAAGTAATCACTAATGTACCCATGTGTTAATAAGATTTGATAACTGCCTGGCCAGACTGTAACCTTTTGACAGCAGCCATGCATTTACAGCAGAGCACACACAGGTTGGTGACTCTTGCATTCCAAGAAAGGGGACCAGTAAAATTGTATTTGCAATGTTGTCTGCTGTTTGCATGACAAACTTTTTCCATTAGTATTATTTCCCAGCTGCTTTCTATCCACTACGCAAACATGGACGATTTTTGTTTCTGGAGAAGTGCTATTCTATAACTTGCTAACAGACTCAGAGCTGAACTTGGTTTGAAAGATATTTAGCTGTAGGGTGTACAAGCAATGCAGTTTGCTGATCTTGAGCTGGTTGTGCTATCTAGTGAATCTCTAAAAGAGAGGAACAGAGAGTCCTGTGGCACCTTTAAGACTTCAAGGCTGGAGCACAGGGAAATGCAGATGTATAATTACAAGAAAGCAACCTTTAATCAAAATGTTTGAGACTCTACCTATGATAAACTGCCCAAGATGGTCCTCTATTGAATGATTTATTTGTATAAACCCAGTATATGTATGAATGATATTTACCATCAGTTATTGCTACTTTTCTTTAACCTATTTTATTTTATAATCTTTGTCTTTAAACTGGTCAACGTATTGTTTATATTTTGAAAATATTCTGTATTGAATAAATGTATTCGCCATGCTAAATGTTTTGTTGCTAAACCAATAGCACGGCCAACAGCAGCAGTGTTTTCCAAAATTATGGGGCTATCTCATTATGTGCCTTGGTAAGAGGGAGGAGTTGTTACTGTGGACACCTTTGCTTAAGTTGCTTATTTTTGGTACTTATGCTAGTGAATGGTGAAGGAAGCTCTCTGAAGGTATGATCATTACATGTAATCAGTTGCAGTTCTGCAAATATAGTGTCAGTTTACATGGTGTAATGGCCACTAGCTCCAAATTCTATACATCCCAGCTTGATGCAAGTTGTGAATTTGCATTTGCATGTTTAATTTTTATCAGATAACATTCTTTAAGACTTTGAGGAAAATTCTGGATAGTAGAGCAGATGCAGTGAGGGAACAGTAGGGAAAGAGTTAAAGTATATAGTCTTTTTAGCTCTAAGCCACATACTTTGTATAGCATCTGGTAATAATACAAGCAATATCATGTATCTCAGTGATAATTTCATTCTTTGGCTGGCTGGTTTGCAATAACCTTCGCACCCAGAAAACCTCTACCTGTAGCTAAGACAAGTTTAAGAGTAAAATCTATAAATTCAATTTATCGCAGCACACTAGGGCTATCAATTCCCAAATACCTGAATGTCTATTTCAGTCCATTGTTGTTTGCAGACATGTTGGACCCAGGATATTACCCCACCCACCTTGTCTATTGTGAGTCCATGAATACATACAATTCTAGAATTTGTTCCATGTGCTGGCCTTTGTGATGCAGTTTTCCAATTCACATGAAACTCTGGGCTCTGGAAAACTTGTAGGCTAGCAAGTGAAACGAGATGAAAATTCAGTGTAAATGAAGAAATCAGCTGGCCATCAGGAAAACCAAGTTATTCTCGGATTAATGCCCCTTGTTGCTTTCCACTGGTTCTCTCATGCTGTGTATTAAGAGGACCTGACCTGTCAGTGGGGAGGCAGGGGTTTAACTGTGATACTCTCAAGGTGTTAGGATGGCACAGTTCTCTGCCAGAGTTTAATATTACGGATTTTTACTATTTCTCCTTTCTCTAGGTGGTGATCACTAGGCTAAAATTGGACAAGGATCGCAAAAAGATCTTGGAACGCAAAGCAAAGTCTCGCCAGGTTGGCAAGGAGAAGGGCAAATACAAGGAAGAAACCATTGAAAAGATGCAAGAATAGAATGGTCTCCTGTGTGTCACCCATTAAAAGAACTGCTAAAATGAAACCTATTGTTGTGTGTTCTACTTTTGGAAGCATTGGTACAGTCTGTCTGGATTGGTGTTTGTCTTCATACCACTTTCACATGTTAATATTGGATGCTCAGAAAAGCACTTCTACTAATTAAAAGAACAGGCTTGTTTTCTTATCCATTGGACGTTTTAAATTGGTTAAAGCGGATTTAATATCTTCTCATCATGCATGCACATCAATTCTTGTATTCCTTTATGTAGTACAAGAGATGTATATGCCTTTTTACAAAGCCAGTAAAGACAGACGCTATACCCAAGAGTTTACAGTCTAAGAAATCAAGAACAGTAACAAGAGTTGACGAAGGAAAGTGTGTGTGTGTGGGGGGGGGGGGGGCGCGCTGGAAGGACAACTGGGGAGAAAGCACATGTGGTTAGAATGAATAGTGCATGTACTGGGTCTTTTCTCCTCCCCAGCTCTATAAATGAAACTTTAAGACGTATAAAACCATGAAGGAACGTAAGTTATTTGGTTCGAAGTACCACATACTTGGCAAAATAAGTGGGAGAAATTGGCCATGTTTTTATTCTACAAAGATTTGTTTTCAAGGCAGATGACTGCAATGCTTGCAACCACATGCTCTTGCACTAGCCAACTTTTGTCTTCAAAGAAGTTAATGGGCTTGTCTTCATATTAGTTTTACACTGGCATATAATGAAGTGGAAGTAAAAGACAACAGACCAAGGTATTAAAAGTACCCTGTTGTGGTAGCTTTGTTTTAGTTCTGTGCAGTTACTGAGTTGTGATGTGCCTTTAAATTATTACGGAAGTTTGAGAACAGGCTTCCTTCATTTTCAGCACTTTGTGAAATTATATGTAAGTAAAACATAATTCCATGAGCTTTGACATGAATATAATAGAAATGACCGAAAGCTGTTGCAGACTGGTGAAAACAGTTCACCTTTACTGGATAGTTAACTGGCACAGGGAATGACTTATCAATCATTGATAAGCTTGGACAAAAATTCAGCCCCTGCCTTGAAGATTTACCATCTAAAACATGAGAAGCAGTGAGAATCCAGAGGAAAGATTAATTTGGAATGTTTTAAATAATTTGTAGACTGCTGTTGCATAAATTGAGGCCTCATCATAGTCTCTTTGGGAATGTCTACACTGTACTTAGACATCCATGGCTGGCCTGTGCAAGTTGACTGGGCTTGTGTGGCTGTTTATTGCAGAGATAGATGAGCCCAAGCTCTGTGACCTCCCACTTCAGTGTCCTAGAGCCTGGGCTCCAGCCCAAGCCAGAACATCTACACCATAATTAAACAGCCCCTTAGCCTGAGCCCAAGTCAGCTGGCATAGGCAGTGTAGACATACCCTTGTAGACCTTTCCACATGTACAAACACAGTGCTTAATATACTTTAGTTTCTGTTCATGTGGGAATGGGTAAACTACTAACATGGCCATGTTGGAGAACTGGGAAGAGTATTTCCACTATTTTAGCAAAATAACTAGTCCATCTCTATCCTTTGATCTTTGAAACATAGTATTTATCTCAAAGTTTAGATGGAGAAAGTGAAATGCATAGGTAATGTGACCTACCTAAGTCATCCAGGGAGGCAGAGCAAGGTCTATGAAGTGAATCCCAAGTTACTTGTCCTAATCACTGCTTTAGACCAAAGGGCCACTTTTCCACTGATATGAATGTGATAGGACTATACGTTTGGAGAATGTGAATATAATCTTGTGTGCTGTACCAACAAAGGCCCATCAGTTTTGTTATGGTGGCAGATATGGCCCCTGATACAGTAGGTGCTGTACAGAAGTATAGTCTCTGCCCTTACAATCTAAGATTTGAAATGGAGAATCCAAGTTGAAACCACTTCACATGGACAAAGCAATTGAACTTGCTGCTCCTGGAGCTGACAGCACCCTCAGAAGAGTTTCACTAGCTGTTCCATTTCTTTCTGGCTTCTTGCTTTAAACTAAATTCTTGAGGGTAGGGCTTGCCCTCCTCTACTCCTACAGCTCCTGGCACGGTGGGGTCCCCTTTCTTGTTCAAGCCTAGAGTCCATATGGGCTACTTCGCACTGCCAGGCAGTGGGAATCTCTCTGCATCCTGTAGCTGTGCAGTAAGGAATGAGCAGCAGGGGGGCGGCTGGAGCCGACCCTGCTGCGTCCTCTCCACCGGTGCTGGGGGACTGCCCGCCTTATGTCTCTCGCTGAGAGGAATCGGGAAGCCGCCGGGGCTAGGCCTAGGGGCCGCCTACAGAAGCCCCAGACTGGACTTGCGCTGTGCTGCAGGGGACCGGAGCTCCCTCCCGCAGGCGGTGGCTGCGGGGCTAGAGGCACCAGCTATTCCCAAGGGCGGTGCCGGGAAACCGGGGTGTCATGCTGGGGGGCGAGAGCCCGAAGCCAAAAGTGTGGCCCGCCGCCAGGCCGCGCCTCTAACTGCCGACTGGGCTGGGTAAGCCAGCCGCGCAGGCGTTGTGAGCCCCGGGCCGGGCACGCGCGTGCCTCGCCCCACTACCGGCCAGGTCGAGCGCGGGTTCCGGGCAGGGCGGGCTCAAGCCAGTGTCACGTGCCGGGCGCTGGTTGGTCGGCGGGGCTGGGGCGGGGCTCCACGAGCAGCTGTGGCGGCGGCCCCACTCCGAGCCGAGCAGGACCCCGGAGTGGTGCCGTCGCGAGTGTGTCAGAGTGAAGCGCTCAGCCATGGCGTACGGCGGCCTCACTGTGCCCATCATCGTCATGAGCGTTTTCTGGGGGGTAGTCGGCGGCATCCTGCCCTGGTTCGTGCCCAAGGGGCCCAACCGCGGGTGAGTGACGGGCCGCCTGGAGAGAAGGGGAGCGGACCCTGATCCCGTCCTGGTCTGGAGAGTGTCCCCCACCCACCCTCCGGCGGCGGAGAGCTCTGATGGGGGAGCTGCCCCCATGTCCCCCCACCCTGACTAGGGAGAGGGGCAGGGCTGTGCGCCATGGGGGGGTAATAGGCGCCTATGTACGACAAAGCCCCAAATGTTGGGACTGTCCTTATAAAATCAGGACATCTGGTCACCCTAGCTGTGAGGGGAAGAAGGCTCGTGAGGCAGCGCTGTGAGTATGGCCTGGCTGTGGTGGCCGCTGTGGCCCCCTGCACCTGGGGAGCGGATCTGGCTCTTTCTTCCCCTGGGGCCTCTTGTCCTCTTTGATTTCAGTTGAAGAACGGGCGTCGGGGCCCACCTTCCCCCTTCATTTCTCCCGAGGCTGCGTGTCGTCCGTCCCCCCCCCAAGCCTGTAGGGATCCTCCCTCTCGGTCTGCCGGGCAGGGCATAGTCGATAAAACCAAAGAAGGGCCCTTGGCAGAAAGTATCTCGCCCCTCATATAATACAGCCCTCTGTCTGGAGAGCGGGAGGGCAGCAGGTGCCTGCCCGGGGTGGGGGTCCGGCTGCATCTCAGTAGCACAGACAGACGTGGTCTTGTGCCACTTGCTCATCGTAGTTCCCTTTTTATTTATTTTCTGTCTGCTTGAATGTGTCTGTCTTGCTCCGCCTGAGCGGAGTCATGTGATTGGGGGGTGCAGACTAATGTGCTGCTTTGCTGTGATCGCTAAGCATCTGCAGGGACTGAGCCTGAGACCCCATATGCAGCTGCTGTTATAGTGTAGCTTTTGTTTAGCTTCTTTTAATGACACAAGAACCTTTTTCTCTGTACATCCTGCTGTCTGGCATGCTCTCCCTGTATTTATCCACCAGATCATAAGATGTTGCTGTTCTGTTCTTATGTACTTGGGATGTGCTCCTAGGGTGAAGGGGCACATAAGCACCTATCAGGGGTTCTCAGGACAAAATTTTTGTTGGCCTTAGAGTGCAGCCACCAACTTTTGCTGGTGGCTACTCATACTTTTTCCTAAAATTCTTAATTAGCTTTGGGAAAGCCCAATGAATATGCACAGATACATGTCCAAATCATTGTAACTTATTTATTGCTAGCTAGTAAGTCTGTTGTGAAAAGTGTTATTAACAAACATACAAGCAGGAGCGGCGCCAGGGTTTTTGGCGCCCTAGGCGGGGGTCCTTCCGCGCTCCCGGTCGTCGTCAGCAATTCTGCGGCGGGGGGGGTCCTTCCGCGCTCCCGGTCTTCGGGGCACTTCGGCGGCGGGTCCCGGAGTGAGTGAAGGACCTGCCGCAGAATTACCGCCGAAGACCCGGAGCGCGGAAGGACCCCCCGCCGCCGAATTGCCGCCGAGGGTGGCAAAATGCCGCCCCCCACCACCGCCCCCCCAAATCCTGGCGCCCTAGGCGGTTGCCTAAATGGAAGCGCCGGCCCTGCATACAAGTATCACTTTGCACAGCAGACTTACTCAGCTCTGGCAAGCCTGGGGACAAATGAAGCCCCAGATGGAGGATCGGGGGAGGCCTCAGGGGCAATGGGGGAGGCAGCGGAGGGCTGAAGCCTGAAGCCCCGCAGCAAGAGGTCAAAGCCCTGCAGCTGGAGGATGGGGCCCAGGGACGGAGCCCGAAGCCTGGGGCTGAAGCCCAAAGGCTGAGCCCCACCACCTCTGGGAAGGTGGGGAACTCACCAGCTGCCTGTTCCTCCAGGCTTGTGCCCCAGCTGTCTCCAGAGGTGGGACAGGGCCTAACCCCTGTGGGTGGCCCCAGCAACCAACACCAAGGCCGTGCATCCAGGAGCAACAGGGAGGGGGAGGGCATGCTACTTTGCCCCCCAAATCCCCATCCACAGCCCATGATGCTGTGGCCACAAAAACTGAATAATTTATTCACCCAATTAACACCACCATTGTCTTCTCATATATAATGCATAGACCATTCACCGTTTTGCATCTCTCAAATTTCTTGTACAGTGTATTTGAAAGATACTCTATACATTATAATTGTATTGTGTTTTAATCTACTTTTTAGAAACAACACCAGCATTAATGTTAAAGTTACTATTCTTGAGCAGATCTATATGCATTTTATAGTTTGAGAGGCAAGTGAGTTACTTGATCTACCTATTTCCAGTGCTGATTAGGATTTTTATTATCTAGGTTGAATTCTTCTTACTCAACTGAAAATCTACATATAGAGGAATTCCTCTTTTCTTTTTATTCTTTTAAATAAAAAAAAAATCATGACACAGAATACACATCTTCCATTGAGTTCCATGGGCAGAACATATGACTCATTCTTGGAAAATGTAATTTTCCTATCTATACAGGATTTTGAAATGTTTGTTCAGCCACTATTTTACCACTACAGCTTCAGTTGCTTTATTGTCATTTTATTAACACCTGCTCTGACAATCCTCTCCAATAAGGATCTTCCCATTCTGGACAGCTGTCATATTATCTCCAAGATTTTGTTTGTCCTTTAAAGTTCTTTAATTTTACAATAGTTACAGTCCACAGGATTCACTTTAAACAAAATAATTGGCTCTTAATTTCCTGGTTTTCAGTGAGACTTTCTGCAAACAGAGTATCCAAATGAAGAATTCTATAAACTGTACCTTTGGGTTTTCACATATAAATCTAACAGAAAAGGTGCTTTAGGATTTGGTTCTGATTTACTGTATAGAGACAATTGTAAAAAAGGAAGAAAGCTTGTTACATGAGATCTTCTCTTTGGAACAGTCTTTTTAGACAAGGCTGTATGGTCTTGTGTTTTGTATTTAAATATTTATACTACAAACAAAAATGAGATGCTTTTATTTGCAAATGGCAAACTAAATCTGTGCGGAGTCCTAGGTTAGAGAGGCACATCTATCTTCCAGTTATACTGTTACATTACAAGAAATTAGACTGTCATTAGAACATTAATATTTTGAGTCACCTTGCATGTGATCATAGCCAAATGCATTCTTAGGTTTATTTTCTATGCCTCTGACTCTTAATCAGTTGTCTTTTCCTATTTCTTTCTGCAGTGTTATCAACACAATGCTGGTGACCTGTGCCGTTTGCTGTTACCTCTTGTAAGTATAAATAATGCCTCCCCTCCTAATAATGGCACACCTGATAAAATGAAAAAGGCCTCTTCGGTGAATAAATGTCTAGGGGGAAATTTTCAAAGCACCAAAAGGATTTAGGAGCACAACTCCCTTTGAAAGTCAATGGAACTCTTGCTCCTAAATACCTTCAGCAATCTTGAAAAAATTCCCGTTAGTGGATAATATATAAAAGTGAATCTGGATGAAGTTATTCTCTGACATATACCCAAAGTCTTAGTACTTTTATATTGATTTATCTTGGCTATTGCCTTCTGTTTTACAGACCTTGAGTTATTCAGCTCAAGCCTCTTGAGGGTTTCTCAGTTCTTGAATAATTTGTATTAATTGTAATAACTATTTGTGTGTACCTATTGTGATAGAGTGGCAGGTCAACCATGCCTAAATCCTTTGAGGTGCCAAGAGCCCTTGACTTCCACTGAAATCAATACTGTGCTCCTTGATTATGCCTTATTTTATGGTATTAATAACAATTCTCTCTTAGCCACCTAATGAGCAACTTCTGCGCTCCTGGAAACACTTTGCAACCCTCTTTGCTTCCTATATCATCTTTCCTTGCCGATAAATAGATGAGTTATAAGTACAGTCTGTAGTGAAAACCCTTAATTCTGTGAAATGATTTCTTCCTCTTGATAGGGACTTATGACTGAGATCAAAATACCTTTCAGGCCATTTCTACACAGCACTTTTTTTCTCTGCAAGTACAGACTGGTACAGACAGTAAACTGACATACCTATTGTGGGTACATCTTGCTAGGTGACTTGTTCATAATTCAATGACAGAACAAGTCCATTTGGGAGCGTTCACACATTCTCTAGTTGCAAGCCATCACTCATAACACACCATGGTGATGAGTTTAATATAAATAACCTCTTAGAGGGATACATCTCAATTTCTGGGACTTTGGGTGCAGGGATTGGCAGCACAAAGCCATGTTTTTAGTGTCGCATTATTTGTAGTAGATGGCATGTTTAAAGTAAGGTCTGTCTTGTTCCATCTTGAGCTGGCGAGGGACACAAGCTTGTGTGGGTTTGGCTTGGTTGAATGCTGTGATATGCAGGTTTTATACAAGCAAGGTCCAGTTTCTGTTTATGGTTAAACAGGCCTGAAATATTTCACATGTGAAGCCTTATGGAATCTGCCTCCTGGCTGACTTTTAAAAAAACACCAACTAAACCAGGACATATCCTATTTTTAAAAAGCCATTTAAAAAAAAAATCTATATTTAAATATGAAAAGATGTCTGTACATAAGCACTGGGAGCCCTGTCCATCGCACTTGCACTTCATATAGAAATAAACACCCAGTAGCATAATTATGCTCTCACAAAATATATACTAACCTAACTTGACTTATTGGCTGAACAGCAGAACATACCCTTAGGGCTTTTGATGAATGCCATCAAATAGATAACTTTAAACATTTATATTAAGCTATTTCTTGTGTGGTATCTGCCTATTTAAGGATGAGTGCCTGGAGCATGCTGTCTTGTACTTGTGGAAAGCAAGTACTAATTGTGGTAGGGGAAGCTGGGTGTTCTAAAAATGCCCAAGAGTAGATTTTAATACTTAAATTAGACCAAGACTTGGCTGTCAGAGAATTACTGGATACAGTGTAATGAAAAGCCTGTACTGATGAATTTTCAGCTGGCATATGTGGGAATTGTATTCCACAAAATGTTAATGAAATCACACTCTCATACACTTAACTGCTGTGAATTCATGAAGGTGATTCTATAGAAAGTCAATGGAGGCATCTTTATCCAACTTCCTTAGACTCTGTGTAAACACGAATATTTGCCAGATTAAATATCCATGATGTGTTCCTCTTATTTCACCATGAAAATTGCATTTAGACTATGAGCAGATGAAGTAAATTATGATTTGAAAGAAGAGGAGCATAATATGGCTGTAGCATCTTGATTTTTAGAGAGAGATTCATAGCTCCTAATAGAGGGAGCATACTGCCTCTTTCTAGGGAAATGCGAATGGCTTATTTATTTGTATTTAGGAGCAGTGCTGTGGTCCCAATAACTTGAATTTTGGAGTGTCATTAGTCTGCTTCTCAGGTTCATAGCAATCCAGTGCATTGTGAAGTAATCAGGTAGGCCCTGGCAAGACTGCGATCTGCTGTACATGTGTACAAGCGAAACTGAGAAACAAACTCCTCACTTTCACTAGTAACTCTTTGCTATGTTTGATGGTCTTTGGGGTACAGTGATTATGCCCATTTAGCTTTGAGTCACTGTGCTTGTCTCTGTTTTATTTTTATTTTTTATTTTTAATCAAACTAGAGAGCAGAAAGTTTGAGGAGAGTGGGAATTGGGATTCCAGATTTCTGTCTTTGGCCCTGCCACTGATTTGCTGTGTGGTTTTGGACAAGCCACTTAAGGCTAGTGGGTTTTTTTTTTTTTTTTTTTTTTTTAAGGTACTGAGCACAGGCAATTCCCCTTGAAGTTAATGAAACTTAAGGGTTCTAAGAATCCCTGGAAACTAGGTTCTTTACTTTTCTGTGCCTCAGACTCCTTATCTGTAAAATGGAGATATTTACTTCACAGCATGGCTGAGGCTTGATTGAATGCTTTGAAATCCTCAAACAAAAGGTGGTTGTGGAAGTACTGAAAGAGGTTAGCACTACTGTACTGGAATAGGGCAGCGGTAAAACTGCTCTTCATTAAAATGACTTGTAATCTGCTCTTGTGTGTTATTGAATGAGGGATAGATTGACTAATCTGAATAAATGCAAATAAACATGGTCCCAGGATTTATTCTCTGACATTCTCAGTTGCACCTTGCAAAGAAGAAAAAGTGGAAGAAGCTAAAGTCTTCATATGTGATGTCTAAGGCCATGTCTACACTACGGACCTCACAGAGGTATCACTGCAGCCGCACTGCTGTAAGGTCTCCTGTGTAGCCGCTCTATGCCAGCAGGAGAGAGCATTCCCACTGGCATAATTAAACCATCCCAATGAGCGGCGGTAGCTATGTTGGTGAGAGCGCGTCTCCCGCCGACCTAGCGCTGTCCACACCTGCGCTTTTGTCGGTGAAACTTATGTTGGTCAGTGGGGTGTTCTTTCACACCCCTGACTGACAAAAGTTTTGCCAACAAAAGTGCTATTGTAGACAAAACCTAAGTGTCTTAGTGAATACACAGTCAATCATGTGGAATTACATCTTTGGATTCTATTTTTATGAATGTGGAGGAGAACTGTTGTCTCTTCTGATGCTCCAAGGTGGAATTGCCTTGTGTTGCATATTTATGGATTTTTAAAAAAAATAGTTTCTGGAAATGTTGCACTTACATTCCATTTGTTAATCCTATTGGAGCTTTGGGATTTCGGATGAAAGGTTCTTTGTGTGAAAGTGTTTATTATATTGGTATCAGAGTCAAATTGACGTTAACTGCACTGTCACAAGTGTAGTCCCCTGTATATGAGATTCCCCTGCAAGGACCTACCACTCTGCTGAAGTGACTGTTTCTTATTATGCAGTTTTTACAAAACCTTTGTCTTGAAATTCTGGATTAAATAAAATGCAAATATAAAAATTATCTTAATTTCTTTTAACATTTGATAGCGCCAGTCTGAATGAAGTTCAGTTTTGTATCTGTTAAATGCCACTTAACTACTTGGCACTAGCCAAATACATCCACATTAAACTGAATTTATTCCAATTTAATCTCAATTAAACAGCAATCATTGCCATTTGATAAAATAAATTGGCTTCCTCTATGTGTGGAATTGGTAGGGGTCATCCCAATTAAGCTTGTTGACTGTGCTGTACAAATTTGGTTGCTTTGGTGGGAAACTTTACACAATTTACTGTATATCCTTTTGTGCATGTGCTATATGCTGTACCTCGCTAAAAGAAGTGTAACCAAAACCTCAGCAGCATGGTGGGACTCAGAGCAGAGTATATAGTGGTACTACTTCTGTTTTTTTGGTTTTTTTTTTTTAAATTGTTCCATTTTTGTAATAGTCTTAGCTCATAATACTCTATCAGATACAAGCAAAGCCTGAGATGCCCATTCCAGTCTTTTTTTCCTATTGTCTTTTTGATAAGAAGTTTATCTTTCTGTAGTACCTTCCATCAAAAACCCAGGGTGCTCAGCTACATCTATTTTGAGATCACTGAAGCCACCTCTGAGGTAAAAGATATTATCTGTGTAGGAAGACACAGCAGTACTACCCAGTAGTTCAGAATAGAAAGTTTGGAATACTCCATCAGTTGCATCTGCAGGAGAATTCTGGGTGGGCTGACTGTAATTACCCAAATTGGAATCTAAATAGAAACCAGAATTGAGCTCTTATTCTGCTATAGAGAGAGACAGATTGTAGTGTTCAGACCATTAGAATGGAATTAGAATTAAAATTGCTGTGAAGTCTATACAGTAATAAAATGACATGGTTATACTTGATCATGATGGACCATAATTTCTTTGAGTTAGCATGATAATTAACATTGACTGTTGCAGGAGGTAGCATGTGGAATGTAGCAGCATTAAAACATTAGATGTTGGATATAGAAGTTTCCTTTATTGTGCTCTGAAAGCCCCATTTTGTTGTGCCTTGTCGTGATAGATTATAGTGTAAAGTAGCCTGGTATAAGATAAATGTGTGTGGGGAAGCTTTCCACAGTTCTGTCTTTCAAAGCACTGAACTCTGTGCTCTCCTACCTTCTACTACTGTGTTCTCAGTGATCAGACCTCCAGCACTACAGGGAAGTAATGGAGCTAAAGAGCAATCTGGGTATTGACCTATAATGCCACTGTGCTTCAGAAGTTCTGTAAACAGCATGATCTGAACAAATAGCTTTTGAAACCAGTACAGTGTTTGCCTAGAGCCTAATTGTACAGCTGTGGACATGTCAATATTCAGAATGAGCTTCCAGCTCATTTATTTCACAGCAGTTCTGGGTCTGATCTCAGTGAACATAGGGAGAGGTCTGGGCGTGTGTGTTGGTGCCTGGAGTTCCTTTCTCTGCACAGTGTAAAGAGGCAAATTATCCCTTAACAGCAATCAACTGTTCCTGTTCTTCCCCCCACCTGTGTTAGTTCAGGAAGTTAATGACAGTCGGTACAATGCACTCTGGTACCCCTCTAATCTGCCTTTGTATCTGAAAAATAACTTGTAAGTGGGCTACACATAAAGTTCTGGTGATGGAGGGGAGAATTTCTATCAAATCAATGAACCTTGAGGAATTTTCTTGATATAGTAAAAGGATTAGGCTATGTTCAACATAATGTGTGTGATGCTGAGCGACCCTTTCCCTGCAGTAGTTAGGGATAACAAAATAAGAGTATTCTGGTTCTTCAGTTTACAAGTGAGAATGAATTGGCTATTTTCCTACTGGTCCTGGGTGGACGTTTACCCACTTCATAATATCCATTGTGCATATCAGCATGAGTGACTGGTCTCAGTTGTTGATTTACACTCAGAATACTATTGAATGTGTGAGGAGTGAGGGGTTGTTAGAACACTATGGCCACAGCATTTGCTTGATTTTAGCTAGTGTCCTACTTAATCTTGTTGCTTTTATTATTATTTTTAACACCACTAAAATTTACAAATATTTATTTTGTCAGTGCCAAGAAGATTGACCTTCCTTTTATCTAACCCTGCATCTTTTGCCTAAGGCTTCTGTAGCCATTTTGAAGCTGACCTGACCAGCACTTCATTTGCTGGTCAGAGCATCCAGATTTATGTGGAATTTTCCATGACTGCCTAAGCACTTCGATGCATTTGTGGCAGCTCCCATTCAAAGCTGCTCTGCTTTTTCTCCTCCTTACAAAGATTCTACAAATAGCAGATGGATAAGACAGTATGTTCACTAAACATGTGTATATAGTTACTATTTTACATAGATCTAAATCCATGCAAATGAGAAGGTTTCTTTGTAAATATTACAAGTTCAGAAAAAGCCAAAGCAAGTACATTTTATAATACTGAAATATTTATTTCTGTTCAGCTTTCCTGGATATTTTCCACATCCCAAATTCTTCTTGTTCTGCATTCTGGCTGTGGTTTCTGCTGAGTTAGTCTGTCAGCTGCTCTGAGGGAGAGGCTGCTGCTGCTAATCTGGATTTTGTTGTCATTGACATTGTTTCAGTAGCTTTGCACCTCTTTGATCTAGACACCCATTTCTTTGACTTCCGTTCTAAATTTGTTCTATTTTTGTTCAGGCTCTTAATAAGAATTATATTGGGGGCGGGTGGTTTGAAAATGTTCAATACATTTCATTAAGATCTTTTATTGGATCGTAATGTTCCTTGTAAAGCCAAGCCTAGTATCTCTGATTTATTGGAGGGAATGTCTCCGGCACAAAGGTTAAGTGATTTGGCCAATGTTGCATAGTAGGTCAGGAATACAATCAAAATTTCCCAATTCCCGTTCCTTTGTTTTAACTGCTAGACTGTATTTCCATCCCTCAATTTAATCTTTGTCATAATGTTTATTGATATAAAAGAGGTGCTGCTTCAATTTAAATTTCATCTGTATTCTGTATATCTAAATATTTTGGCATAGTTACGGTTAAAGTAAATGAGACGCATACTCCTTATTTGGAAGGTGATGTGCTTTAGTAACCCTTTCTGACTTCTACTGCCATTTAGAGAGGCCTTGAGCAGCTCTGGAGGCAGTGTTGTTGGAACATGGGCCCAGAGGATGGGAATGTGTCCCAGAGCACTTCACCTTTCAAGAAGAAGCAGCAGTGAATTAAAAAGATGCTATCAAATCCAACTGATTGTATCACTTTAAATTGAACAGGATAGTTCTCAGTCCAAACATGCTACAGTCTTCTGAGGTGTAATACAGTGCTAGAGCTCTTCCATTAATGTGAGACCTTTAGGAGTTTGGGCTTAGCAGCATTTTGACTTGGTGTTAGACCTTTAGCGATGTTGTCTTACTGTCTCCTGATACCCTTTATGCCTTGGCCAAGTTATCCATACTCTTGATGTGTGTGTTGTTTTTTTTTTTTTTTCCCTTGCAGTTGGCTGATTGCGATCCTGGCCCAGCTCAACCCTCTCTTTGGTCCACAGTTAAGCAATGAAACAATCTGGTATCTTCAGTATCAGTGGCCTTAAGGATGTCTGTCCTCTCTGCTGCCTTTTTTGTGGACTAGGTAAATATGGTTGGAGACCTTCTCCAGTTATGTCTTTGGGTTTTCTAAATGCTCAGTGAAAACTTAGGCAATAGCATGGATAATGGGTGGGTAGTTTCACAAGAGGAAGCAGTGTTTTCGCAGTCTGTAACAAAGAAGGATTTGAATTTGGGACTGGATGCTTTTAATCTCATTTGGAGATTGAGATGTTAGAACTAGGATGCTTGATTTCTGAAAGGATGGAGAGGGGAGTGCCACACCATGTGACAGCAGGTGGTGTTGGGGGAACCATCTGTTCCTCCTTCTAGCAACAAAATGAGAGCCCTGAAAATGGGTATGGGGGGAGGGGGAATATTTTTTCCCCCCCTTTAACACCTATCATAAGTTGGTTTTGTTTTTTAACAATTCTCAAGTCCTTACACTATTATGGCTGAGGCGACCTGACCATCTTCCTGCAGAGCAGGTAATCCTCCCACCTTAACTCTCCAGAGTAACACTATTATCATTTGTATTATTGTTGTGCCTAGGAGCCCCAGTCATGGACCAGGACCCCATTGTGTTAGGCCCTATACAAACACAGAACAAAAAGATGGTTCCTGCCCCCAAAATCTTACAATCTGAGGGCTGGTCTACACTATCAAATTTAGGTTGACGTAAGGCAGCTTACATCTACCTAATTATGTCAGTGTCTACACTACAGCCTTGCTCCCATCGATGCAAGTGCCATACTCCATCTCCACGAGAGGCATAGGGCTTATGTCAGTGTAGTTAGGACGATGCAATGTCTGTGTAGATGCTGCGTTACTTACATCGGCTGTTGGTTGTCTTGTCAATTTTACGGCAGGAGCCATGAAATTGACAAGAAAGCAGGGCAGCTACAGCCCAGGGTCCCTCCTCCCGCTCCTGTTCAGCCCCTCCCCACCCGCCCTGGGTGGCCCACCAGGAGCCTGTGGGGCAGCTGGGCTCCTGACAGGGCGCCGGGCGCTCTGCTCCCCACACTGCCCCCTTAGGTCGTTGCAAGCCCTCCTAGTGAGGACGTGTACCACTGACCCAAGGAGGGTAGCATGGAGATACAGCCACCGTAGTATGCGGTGGTGTAAGTCGACCTAATATAGGTCAAGTTAAGTTTCTAGTGTAGATATACCCCAAGTATAAGACAAGAGACCGCATTTGTCAGCATGACAGGCAGTGGTCTCAGCACACAGTGGGGACCAATTTCATCAGCATAAAAAACGAAGCCATGGAACTGAATGAATAATTCAAAGCACTGTGTTCTACTGCCTTTGTCTTGCAGCTTTAATCCCCCTCACAACTCTTTCAAAACATAGAAAATTATAGTAGAACAGCAGTATATGGATGATAGCTGACATTGCCGCTCAATTGGATGTTGGTTGTAAAGCTTGTTGAGTACTAACCCTTAAGCATAACTCTAGTGTTTCAAAATCAGGCTGAGCCTGAATAGTATCAAACTGTGGTGTATGTAAGTCTCTGTTTCCTACTTTTTCAGTAAAAGCCAAAGGTAGGCTGGGATCTGCTGCAGATAGAAAGCTCTAACAGTGTACAGCAGCCAAGCTGCATTTGTTTGGTGTGATTGTGCTGGGTTTTGTTTCTGCTGAGTAATGACCTTGACCACAGGCAGAAGGGCTGGCATATTCCCAGAAGGCATGGGGATTGGAATTGGAATATAATCACCTACATAGAATGGACACTTTGGACTAGAAGGTGGGGCTTGCTTTTAATTAATAATGAACCGTCTGCTCCATGGAGTGTGCTGCCACTACCAGCTGGAACAAGCTTGAGTGAGAGATGGAATGTAGATATGGCTATCCAGAGAATATCTATTGGAAGATGTTTCCCTTTTAGTGGAGTAGCATCCCAAAGCATTATAAATAAATTGATACAGAGGAAAAGGGGGATTAATATCTGATAGAACAGGGGTGGGCAAAATACGGCCCATGGGCCAGATCTGGCCCGTCTAACATTTCTGTCCGGCCCGCCATAACTAACATTTCTGTCCGGCCTCCTCTGCCCCCTCGCGATCTCCAAGTCCAGGCCACTAAAAGTCCTGCGGCGCAGCGGGGTGCTCAGGCAGGCTACCTGCCTGCTGTGGCCCCACGCTGCTTCCAGAAGCAGCCGGCTGCTGCTGGCACTCTCCGAGACCCTGGCGGGGGAGAGGCGGCTCCACGTGCTGCCCCCGCCCCCAGCACCGTCCTCGCAGCTCCCGTTGACCGTAATCGGGCCAATGGGAGCTGCGGGGGTGGTGCTTGCAGGTGCAGGCAGCACACTGAGACCCGCTGCCCCTCTACCCCCAAGGGGCGCCCAGAGACATGCCAGCAGCAGCTGGCTGTAGCCACTTCCAGGAGCGGCATGGGAGCCGCCTGTGGTAAGCGCCTCCCGGCCAGAGCCGACACCTCACACCCCTGCCACAGGTCACAACCCCCTCCTGCACCAAACTCCCTCCCAGAGCCCTCACCCTCTCCTGCACCCCAACACTGTGCACCAGCCCTGAGCTCCCTCCTCTACCCAAACTCCCTCCCAGCCCCGCACCCCCTCCATTAATATAGTAGAAATGTGCGGCCCATGACACCTTACCAAAATTCATGGAGTGGCCCCCCTGTGATAGAATGACCAGAAAGTCCCTCATCTGAAGGGATGGTGGGAGAGCGAGTTCGAATCCAGTCAAATGATTCTGCCAGAGAATCCCAATTACTGATTGAGTGCCTTTCTGCTTGACTTCTTGTGATAAGTAGCTATAAAGCAACTTGTGTGGGTTTTTAACCTTCAGTTTGCATTGTGTCACTGAGTTACACGTTCTTGCCTGTGTGAACAGAAGAAACATGTAGTAACCATGCTGGGTTTTAATCAAGATTACAGCATGGTTTTCTAAGCATCTTTTACTGTCCAGAGGCAAGAAACTTTCTAACACGTTTGTCAACCACAAGCATGTTGACAGGGCCTCAGGCTGGAGCGGGCTAGCTAAGAGATCCAACCTTGATTATGCTATTGAGGAGTACCAATCTCTTGCTTGTCTCTTCTGCCATCAGAGCCACACAACCTTCAGTGGGCTTCTTGCTCCACAACAAACTTGCCATGCAGACTGCAACTGAAAGAGATCTTGGATGTGCATCCCTGGTGTTACTTTGGAGATTCTGTGCACACACTACTAAATTCCAGGGCACCTGCCAGAATTCTCATCAGACCCATTTATAAAACTGCACAACTTCCCAGCTGGTAGCTTCTCATATGACCCAATTAAACATGATAAATGTACTAACACCATAGATGATGCTGGTTTGGGGATAGATCTCTGCAGAAAGAACTTTCAAACACCCAAGCAGATGAATTTTGTCCATACTGTATAGCGGGGTGGCCAACCTGTGGCTCCGGAGCCACATGCGGCTCTTCCGAAGTTAATATGCGGCTCCTTGTATAGGCACCGACTCTGGAGTGAGAGCTACAGGCACCAACTTTCCAATGTGCCGGGGGGTGCTCACTGCTCAACCCCTGGCTCTGCCACAGGCCCTGCCCCCACTCCACCTCTTCCCGCCCACTCCCTTGAGCCTGCCATGCCCTCTGTCCTTCCCCCCCCCGCCCTTCCCCCCAGCCTCCTGTGTGCCAAGAAACAGCTGATGGGGAGGGAAGGGGAGGCACTGACTGGCGGGGCTGCTGGTGGGTGGGAGGCACTGAGAGCAGCGGGGGAGCTAATGGGGGGCAGCTGACGTATTACCGTGGCTCTTTGGCAATTCTGGCTCCTTCTCAGGCTCAGGTTGGCCACCCCTGCTCTATAGTTATTTGGCCACAACTGTTTCTTCCTAGAAAGCAAACAGCCATGGTTAATTCACTGAGCAGCTCTTCAGCTAGTAAATTGCCTCTATGAAAGAGAGTGACTGAATTGCCTTTTGCTTTGCAGGTAAAGAAGATATTTCCTCTAGATATAAAAGCTACGTTGATCCAAAGATGCCCTTAACATAGCTGGTTGGATACCAAACCTGTTTAATGCCTTAATGTTTGTATTGTGCTTAAAATGGCTTGTTCAAAGCCCTATATTTTTCTCCTGGTTTCCTTTTACACTGTTTAACAATGTGCCTAATACATAAGATTTATACCTCCTTTTCTGTGCTATAAACTTCTACTTGTTTCGATTACACTTGAAATTATAATTTTTTTTCTGGGATATGTGAGTTTGAGGGCAGCCTCTTCCTTGTCCTCGTGTTGCACAGTCTCCATGAGCTTTATGAAACTTCCACACACTAGACTGCCTATTTATAGTGTAATACACAGGCATTTTCTGTTGGACTAGAATTGCATAAAATAAAGTGTGCAACAAAACTGGTGGCTGGAAGATGCTGCCACGTGTTTATGGCATTTATTTTTACAATGGATTGTATTCTCGTAAAGTTTAATCTTAAATTTCTGTGTACATGGAAATAAAATGAATCTGCTGCTTTATATGAAACATTCTTGGGAAGCATCTAATGGTTGTATAGTTATTTTGTTTTTGGGTAGACTTCTGTAACGTTAATATTGCTTAGTGAGTCAAAGTTCAACTTTTGAAACTTTCAGAGCTTTCAATATGCTTGTATCTAATATTGCTTGTTATTTCACTATGCCATCTGAATGTAAGAGTTCTTATCCAGCTGACTTCAACGCCCCAGCTGCTGGTCTATACTGAGGGAAATTACTTGGCTACTTTCCCTCTGAATCCTTTCTTGTAGTGTTTCAAGTTGTTCAACTTCAGTATCTCTATTTTCCATGATATATAGTAAAGGCCTATGACAAAATAGAGCTTGGTGCTTGGGCTAAAGCACCATCAAGAGTTAGTATAGAAAGTCACTGTCCTAATAATAAACTGCCTTAAGTTATGCTACAGCGACCAACCCTACTTAATGCTAAAGACTGCAATTAGGAAAAAAACACTAGATATAGATCTATGCATGTGCCTTAGAAATAGACATTCTCTGAAAGACCCTTCAGAGTAAATGAGTTCCAGAGCTGAGAATCCCGCCCAGAATGCTCTGTTGCCTGATGCCAGGAATTTGATCTTGGAGATAAGAAAGCCAATTTCAAATTGGCATAAGTGGAGATACTGTTACTTGGCTAACCTGATGCCAGGACTTTTGGGATATTGATGGTATCAAACCCTTTGGATTGACCCAGTACACAGCAGAAAGCACAAGGACTACATTTTGACCTAGCTGATGCTTCCAGGTAATCCTCAAAGGTGTTCTAATTCTAAACAGAGATCATGCCAATCCTAGGCCAAATGTGAAAAAAGACAGATAACTGGTGAAAGCCATATATATCAGCTGGGCCTCCATGAGGAGAGATTAATCTAGTACTGCCTGAGATTGGAAACCACTGAGGTGCAGGAAATGGGGAACAAACCTCTTCTGTGCAAGGTGTAATCAAAATCCCAGTTCATGCCTACATGGGTTTGACACACTTACCCTCCTTCCTATTTAAAACATGTCCATGATTTTGTGACCATTGCAGTTAGCCACATCTATATAGAGCTGAAGGGGCATCTCCATTATACACAAGCCTCAGATACAGTCTGTGATGATGATATTCACCACTTTGTGTTAGTTTGGGGAAGGGATAGCTCAGTGGTTTGAGCATTGGCCTGCTAAACCCAGGGTTGTGAGTTCAATCCTTGAGGGGGCCACTTAGGGATCTGGGGCAAAATCAGTACTTGGTCCTGCTAGTGAAGGCAGGGGGCTGGACTTGATGACCTTTCAAGGTCCCTTCCAGTTCTAGGAGATGGGATATCTCTATTAATTTATTTTATTTATTTATTAAAAAAACACAGAGACAGGTGTTAGCATGAATATATTACAGTCTGAGCAACAAATGAAGAGCCATGCTGGGACATAGGATATAATTCAGCACTTTTACAAAATTAACTACTTGGAGGTATCAGATATGAGTTTAGGAGGAATTTGAATGAGGAAAGTGGTGGATTGGTGAAGTAGGAAACCACGGCAATAGTCACAAAGCAGACTTTTGTGTAGATAAATAATGTTCCTATTAATTTATTATCCAAAAGAGGAGTAGACGAGTTTAACTCCATGCAAATTTTTATTAAGTCTCTTCTCAGTTTCAGGGAGAATCTCTTTTTAAAACCAGGCAACTCCCTTTCCTTTGTATCCATAAACTCCCCTCCCCCCTTTGCCATACGGTAGGGGGGGGCCGTGCCCAACTTGGATAGACACACGGTTAAAGGCCTTGACACCTCTGGTGTTTGCTAAGCACTAGTACTTAGGGCTGTCTAAAGCTATTGACTTTGGCTTCCGGCAGACATGAAAAAAGCCATCCAGGACTGTGTTAACTCATTGCACCCATGGAGCAGACAGCATGATAGTAATCAAATAAAGAGGCCCGCATAATACTCATTTAAAAAAAAATGCAGATACCTCCAATGTTCTTCACATTAACTATCTGACAACTGTCTCAGAGAGGAAGTGTTAGCTCACCATGCTGATGCATAAAATATAGGGAAATTCCTCAATCTGGTATTTATTTCCTTCAGCTGAATTTCTGAGGCTCACTCAGCTGGACTCTGGAGATACTTCTCTGTTTCAAAGTCATCACAGGTGAAACCCATCCCATGAACTTTATTCTTTTTATCTCATACTTTGTACATTGACAGGTAGTTTGAAGCCCAAAATGTAAATCTTGTAAAAGATTTACAAAACTGCCTATTAACACTATTGTTTTTTCTGCCATTTAATATAACGTTAAGTCTAAAACTAGACCAGCTAACCTTTGCTGATTATATTCAACTTGTTTTTAAAGTTGGTGTCCGTCCAAGATTTCCAAGTACTGTTTTCTCTCTAAACAACCCTGATTTTTTTTTATTTTGATGCTGTTGTTTCTGTTGATCTTGTCTTGCTAACAGTTATTTTTACAATAAAATTTGAAATTAATAAAATTAATTTTTAAAGATGTAAACATCAGTTAAAACTGTTTGGATTTAGATTTTGTTCTGAACTATTTGCAACCCATAAATGTGGCACTATAGTGTGGGCAGATGAAAACCCCAAAATGAAACTAACTATAAGGAGACTAATAGAGCTGTGCAGAAGATGAAATTCCATTTCCTAAAGGATTTTGAAATTTGACTTCATTCCAAATTGGAATGAAACCTGAAAATTCCAAAATCCCTCATAAAGGAAATTAAAAAAAAATTGTTTTGGGTCAATTAAAACATTTTTTAATTTTGTCTTTTTAAAATTATGTGCAATATAAGATACAAAATTGAAAAATGCACAATGAAAATCATTTCAAAACAAAAAAAAATCAATGTCTTGTTCTGAAAATGTCAAAACAGGACATTTTGACATCGTTGGTTTTCTTCTGAAATGAAATTCCATTAAAACTAAATCGATTTTGTGAAGTGTTTCAGCTTTGACAGAACTGAATATTCCTACAGAATATGGCTCTCTCTGTTTCTGCAACCATCTCTACAGATGACTATTTTGTCCTATTTGTCTGCTTCTCTCTTCACCTCTTTCCCCACATTGTGCTGTGCAATCCAGACCAGTGACAGGCTGTGTCACCCCTTCTCTGCAACCTTGGGTGTCTCACAATGCTTTGCTGCTGGGGCTCCTCCCAAACAGGATGCAGGTTACACCCTGAGTATCTGTTTATAGCCATAACCTGGTCTAGCAACTCTGACCCCAGCTGCCTGTTAGCAGACCCCAGCTACACTCTGGCATTCAGCAGCCTTGGTTACCACTAGCTGGGTGAACCCAACACACTCCCAGTCCTGGGTTCCCCCCCCCCCCCCCCCAAATGTGTGTTCTGGACAATAGTAGGTCCATTGCCCCTCTAAGGATATCAATATACAAACATTTGCTACCATAATTGGAATTACCTACATGGTTCAGTTTAAAGACAATGCTGGATTAGTTTTAATTAAAGAATAAAACAAGTTTGTTTAATTATAAAGAGATTAAGTGAGTACAAGTATAAGGCATTAAAGTTAGAAATGGTTACAAGAAAAATAAAGATAAAATGCTTTCTAAACTTAACAAACTAGACTTGGTTCAAAGTGAAATTCTTACCAAAAGCTCCTAGCAACAGGGCGGACCAAATTTCTGGTCACAATCTGCTCCAAAAGGCCATAGGCTGTTTCTTTTGTCGTCTTACATGGAAAAGAGAGAGAGAGATAAGGAAAGAGAACTTGGGGTGTTTTTACTTCTTTTATAATTCAGTCACCCTTTGAAATTGCATTTTCCTGAGGGTTACCCCTAGATAAAGTTCATTCCTGCTGTGAGGATGGAGACTAAGGCTTTGTCTACACTGGAACCTGAATGACAGAACTTTTGGGAAAAAAAACACTTCTGAACGCCAAAAGTTTTGCTGATGAAAAGTGGTGGTGTGAACAGTGCGTTGTCGGCAGGAGAGCTCTCCAGCCACTCGTTGAAGGTGGAAGTTTTTTTTGTCTGCGGGAGCGCTCTCTCCTGCCGACAAACAGCGACTACGCTGTGTGCCTTTTAGCAGCACTGCTGTAGTGGCACAACTGTGTCACTAAAAGGTGCAGACAATAGCCAAAGAGACTGGTGGTGAAAAGCTGCTATTTGCTAAGATGCAGATCTGTTTGTTCCTGCCCCGCTTCCTTTCTCAAGAATAGCCACTTGGTAGGTGATTACCTATCAGCTTTGGTGACACCTGGCTAGAGGTTTCAACTTGTCCTTTGTCTTTGAGAAACGGATTTACCCACTCCCCAGACTTGTCTGGAAAACACACTTCAGTCATGATTTCACCTTTTGTTCACAAACTAACATATTGCTACATGCATTCCACCATGATATTATTAGCCAGCAAGCTATTAGTTTTCAAACAATATCGAAGCATATTTTGTACAAAGATTATTACAGTGATGTGTAGAGTGTGAATACAGGGTGCACGTGGTCACCATTTCTACAGATGACTTCTGTCCTATTGTCTACTTCTCTTTGCGCTGCTTTACCCACACTGTCTTCTATGCATGGAATGCCCTTTTGAACTGGTCTGCCAAGCCACTAACGTCTCCTCTTTGACCTGTGATGAGGGAAAGACATTTATTTATTCTTAAACAATAATTGTTTGCTCCATCATGGTGTGCATAAGCTTTTGCTGATAACATTATTTTATTGATGTTAGCTCTGTCCATCCTCTCTTATTCTCATTACTGTTTTGTTACCCCTCCATTTGACATTAGGTCCTGAGCCAACAAGTAGTAGCGTGTAGGGAGACTGCTGTGCTTGTGCCTGGCACATTGCAGAACTGAGGCAATAGATTTTAAGATCTTCAAGACAGTGACCATGTCTTCCTGTTTGTACTGTGAGGCAACTACCACATTCTTGGATAGTGTCAAATAAATACTAATAATTGTGTTGGCCTGTGTGAAGTAAGTACAAAAGTAAACTGAGCAGTCTAAACAGCAGAAAGTAAATAAGGTTTTCCAAATATATTGGTTTTAATCTAAGGAGTAATTAGTAAGATCTGGAAGGCGTTTTGAAGCTGACTGATTTTTTCACTATTCTTTACATCTTCTTTATTTAACAGACCTAGACTTACAGGCAATAGAATTAAATTCATCAGTAAAAAATGGCCAGGAAAAAAATAAATGAACAAAATATATAAACTCGCATATCACTACAATACACACTAGCTTCAGAGCCTTTGCTTATAGGCTGCAGGAGAGATTTAGGTACCAAATGTGGCTCAAACTTTCAATTTTTTTTTTAATTGAGGGTTTATACCATATGGCAGAGGACCCCAAACTGTGGGGCATGCCCTCCCTAAGGGGGGTGGAGGAACATCTGGTGGGGCCTGGAGTCCCATAGCCCTGAGTATGGGGTGACTCCCTGGGAGACCCCACTGATCCTTGGGTGGGGAAACTCCCTTGGGACCACCTGCTACCCTGTATGGCATATATATCAGGGGTGGCCAAACTGTGGCCCATAAGCCGGATTCAGCTCTTTTACAGTTAAAGGGGGGGGGGGGAGGGGGGCAGGGAAGCTCCCGGTTTCTGCCCTGCAGTGGGGTGGTGGAGCTAGGGGCTTCCACCCTGCAGGGATGGGGGTCTCAGGGATTCAGCCCTGTGGGGTGCGCCTGCTGGGGCTGGGGGCTTCAGCAGGAGCGAGGCTGAAGCCCCCAACAGGTGCCTCCTGCAGGGCTGGAGCCCTGAGATCTCTATCCCTGCAGGTCTGAAACCCCAAGCCCTTGTAGGTGCCTCCCGCAGGGGAGCCCCAAGCCCCAGCAGATCCCTCCTGTGGGGCTGGAGCCCTGAGACCCCCTTCCCTGCAAGGCTGAAACCCCCAGGCCTGGCAGGCATACTCCAGCTCTTGAACTTCTGAAGATTGATATATGCAGCTCATTTATTTGGGCATAAGCTTTCGTGGATAAAAGTGAGGTTTTTACCTACGAAAGCTTATGCCCAAATAAGTCTGCTAGTCTTTAAGGTGCCACCAGACTCCTTGTTGTTTTTGTAGCTACAGACTAACACGGCTACCCCCGATATATGCAGCTCAGAGCCTCAGGGTCACTAACTTTGGCCACTCTTGGCATAGCCTATATGGGCAGGGGAACCAATCCCCCCACACCCACTGGGCCCCTCCACATACTTACCGCTGTCACATGACAGAGGAATCCGTGCTATGCAGCTTCTGATAGGCCCTGTGCATTGTTCTCTGTGATTGGCCTGCTCTCAGACCCCCCCCTCCCACGTGAGGGGGGCGAGTCACGCGATTTCCGGGAACCCGTCAGGAAGAGACATAAACAAAACAAACCCCAAAGCAGCATGGAGGGTCCGGGCCGGAGCGGGATGGGCGACGCCCCCTATTGAGACATCCCTTTCCCCCGCTGGGTCGGGGGGACGCCAGGTGAGGGACAGGCTGCTGCAGCAGCCTCGGGCAGGGAGGGGCCGTGGGGGTGGCGGTAGCAGCAGCAGCAGCCTCTGGCAGGGCGGAGGCTATAGAGACTGTTGCACTAGTAGCCCATGGCAGGACAAGGGCTGGGGGCAGCGGTGTGGAGGCTGGTGCAGTCCTTGCCGGGGTGGGGGGGCTGCATTTATTGCCCCTTTAACCCAGCAGAGGGGTACAGGGGCTGCAGCCAGAGTAGGTCAGGAGAGTCGCTGATACACACCAGGAAGGACCGGGGTACTGAGGCCAGGGTGAAAAAGGGGTGTGTCTGCCTCCGATTCCCTCTCCTGGTTTTGGAGAGGCGCATGGGATGGGGGAGGTACCACGCTGATAGAGATGTGGAGAGCAGCAGACACTTCCCTGTGCTCCTTCAAGGGGGCGGTTGTTGGTAGTATGATCGGAACCGCCCCGTGCTAGGCAGATGTCTGAGTTTCTCTGCTTCCGAGGTGTCTGACCCGTTGGCACAGTTGATTGTACTGCTGTCGTTTCTTAGGCCTTTGAAATGAATGTCTGCAAGTTACTAGCCGAAGGAGTTGAAAGAGACTGCAAAGGAAAGCAGCAGCATGTGCAGGGGCGTGCACTGAGTTAGTGGCCTGTCGGCTTCCATTGCAACCTACATCTATCAGGCGTCTGTGCCGTGGCACTGGGAGCAGAGCCTGCACTGTACGGTCATGGGGATTAAAGCGCCTTCCCTCCAGGGGCTTTGTGGGTTCTGGTAGTATGGATGAAGGGATTGTTTAGCCCTCAGTATATAAGGGATCAGTGCAAATAGGGGAGACAGGCGACAGCTGGGTGGGAAACGGGTGAGGGAGTCTCCCAACTGAGCCCTGTGACTCTATGTAACTAGTTTGTGGTTGTGGGGCGGGGGATCCGTGGGCTCCTGGAGGAGTCATAGGCTTGTGACAGGCCTGGAAAGTAGCTGGAGGTCCGTCCTTGTTTCCTTCCCTATAGAGGGATTTGTGGGGCGAACTTAGCTGCCTGCGAGCCTCTTGCCCCTGTCTCTCCCCTTCCCCCCCTCATGCCTGGACGCTGTAGTTGGTGAGAGTAGGTTCCATTATCCCTTCCCTCTGAAGCGAAGTAGCCCCCCCCTCCTTTCCTTTGAAAGTGGGGGGGAGCGGCACTGCCTAGCTGAGGAGCCTATGAAAGTGATTTGTTTACATGTTGCCTCACACTAGCTTGAAAGAGCCGCTGGGCGGGTGAGTGGCGGCGGTTCGAGCCAATGGGTGCGAGCTTGGGAGGTTGGTTGGCCAATCAGGTTGGGAAGGGGGTGGGGCGGGCTGTGTCACGGGTTAGGCTGCGCTCGGTGCTGGTTGGTGGGGCGGCCATGTTGGCTGGGAGGTGTGTTAGTGGGTCAGGAGGAGGGGGCGAGGTCCAGGCGCAAGGGGGGACAACGCCTGTGGGGGCTGGGTCGGAGCTGGGGGAGGCAGGCGGGCGGGCTCAGCCAGGGGTGTGCTAGGAAGAGTAGCTCCCTTCCCCTTTGAGGTGGCGGGGAGAGACACAGGTAGGGCTCCGGGACGATGCAGAAAGGGGAGATGCCTGATCCAGGTGATTGGGCTGGAAAGTTGAGCTTCTGCTCTCTGAAGCCAAGGGGGTGTCAGGAGGCACATGCTGGATAAGAAGTAATTTACAAAACTAGTGGAACACCCCCTCTGCTGCTGTGACTACCCCACACATACCCAGACCAGCTCCCCTAGTTACCCTCTGACTCATGGCAGACCTAATTCCTTGCTGTCTCATCACTAATATTGTTTGTTTGTATCAGATAACTGAGGGTAAAACATCTTCATTTATTGTTAAGGAGACAGATTCTCTGTAACTTGGTACTTTAAAGTTATGTTCTCTCTCTTTTCATGCTTAAACCCTCCCTCTTTCCCCCATGAGTCTGTTCACTTCTGGCTTTTTTAAATGAGGAATAATCATACACAGTATTGATGTTCTACAAAAAACGTTTGATCTAAAATTCAGAAAATGTCATAAACTGTTCACTAACTATTCTAGAAAAGTGGAGTTTAATCCAATATTAATCTGAATTACTTCCCTTTTAAAACAAATTAAGGTGTTTATCCAAGCATGAGTTTTCTGATCATCCTTCTTTCCGTTCTTTTCTTATAAATAAGAAAATATTAACATTCCATGAGATCATTCCTATAAGGAGCTTTGTATTGATGGATCCTGGCACAGAGCCTCTTTCAAATCAATGGGTCACCAAATAGGTAAACTTCTGCACCTACAAGGACCCTCCTCTACTTCAATGGGGCTTTCAGCTGGCATCTGCTTGCCAGGGAGCTTTTTGTATGATTAAGGCCTTTTTTTGGTGAACTACTGAACTTCTCCATCCCTTTGAGTTATGAGGCATGCCCTAATCTCATCCCTGTGATTTGACAGTTCCTTAGTACAACTGTGGCGTGTGCATAGGTGAGGCACACTGTATTTTTTTAGAGGATTATTTTCAGTAACTGATCCAATAATTAGTGTTTTAATTTCAGGACCAGAATTCTTCTATCTTTCATTCTGAACTAACCAATTAAAACGTTCCACTTTTTTCAAACTCCAATACAGACTAGATTCTTTATTTTAAGTTTTTAACTGTACATACTGAAATATTAATTTCTGGATTGAAAGCACAGTAGGCCTGTTTTGTTCACAGTGTAAATCAGTGGTAACTCCTTGAAGTCACACTGGTGTAAAACCAGTATAAGTGTGATGAGACTTGACTCATGGTCTTTCAAGCTGTAAGAGAATTGAATTCAAAATAGAGTAATAAAAAGGTGGGCTGACATCTAGGTTGCATGTCAGACACTTGCTTCTGAGCACAGCTGACATACCCTTGTGGTTTTTTTAATTATAACATTTACACTTTTTTTTTTGTTTGGAGTAAGAATAATAAATGTAGATACAGAAGTTTTGGGGGGGACCTGGTGCATGTTCATTGTGGGCAGCCTAAATAAGGGGCGGAAACTGCTAGGTCTGAGATATTTTAGGTGATTGGTGTACTTGGGATTGTCAACTAACCTGGTATGGTTGATGTTGAAGGAAAGTGGATAATGATCACATGGCCTGTAAAACTCATTGCTTGATAGTACAGCTCCTGGAGTGAGAAATGAGTTATAATTCTGAGTACTTTTCAAGTGCTGTACAAACACTAGCTAACTTATAAAGGATTGTCTGTGTTTGATAGAGGCATTATTTAGTGGTCAGAGGAGACCATCTCTGATACATCATACCACTTAACCCTATACCCCAGTTTTCCCAACTGTACAATGAAAAAATTATTTATCTGCATCAGAGAGATTCCTTGAGGATCAAGCATATAATACCCTATGAGAGCATTTATTTGAGGTACAGTAGAACCTCAGAGTTACAAACACCAGAGTTAGGAACTGACCGATCAATCACATACCGCATTTGGAACCGGAAGTATGCAATCAGGCAGCAGAGACCAAAAAAAGCAAATATTGTACAGAACTGTGTTAAACACAAACTACTAAAAATAAAGTGAAAGTTTAAAAAGATTTGACATGGTAAGGAAACTGTTTCTGTGCTTGTTTCGTTTAAATTAAGAGGGTTAAAAACAGCATTTTTCTTCTGCATGGTAAAGTTTCAAAGCTGTATTGTTATTTTTCAGGTGTAGACTTTTGAAAGAACAACCATAACTTTTTGTTCAGAGTTCCAAACTTTTCAGAGTTAGGAACAACCTCCATTCCCAAGGTGTTAGTAACTCTGAGGTTCTACTGCAACACAGAATAACTAATATATTGGAAAACCTGCTTAACAGATTGGTGCTAGGGCAGTGTTTCCCAAACTTGGGATGCCGCTTGTTTAAGGAAAGCCCCTGGCGGGCCGGGCCAGTTTGCTTACCTGCCACATCCGCAGGTCCGGCCGATCGTGGCTCCCACTGGCTGCGGTTCGCCGCTGCAGGCCAATGGGAGCTGCGGGAAGCGGCGGCCAGTACGTCCCTCGGCCCGCGCCGCTTCCCGCAGCTCCTGTTGGCCTGGAGCCGCGATCGGCCAGACCTGCGGACACGGCAGGTAAACAAACCGGCCTGGCCCGCCTGGAGCTTTCTCTAAACAAGAGGCGTCCCAAGTTTGGGAAACACTGTGCTAGGGGATGATTACTTGAATGTATTGCTTTAGGCTTTAAAGTGTAGCCTGTGTCATAACTCATTTTAAGAAAAAATAAACACTTCTGGTTTTGTTCATTTACATTTCCTACAGGTTTTTGGATGGCATGGGCAATTGGATTATATTTTTATCAGTTGTTTGATAATGGATAAATTGACTACACTTGCACACTTCTTGGCTATAAAATATGTGAGTTTGAAGCATTTTGTGTTGAGACGGCAGTTAATATAACTTTTTTTGTTTCCGTAAATATAAAATATAATTCCACGATACGAGGACTTAGAATAAGTTTACATTTCCCTTCACCCAGGGGTTTTCTGAGCATTAAGGATTTCTTCCTTCTTTGCGCCCCTCACATCCTCCTCAAAGACTCTGATCTAACCCTGCACTGGCAGAAGAGTGGAGACGATGACTTCATATTCTACATCTCTATAGCATTGCTTATGCTAGGACACTCCTTCCAAAAGATCAGTTATATAATTGCTTAGTTTTGTTTTCATTTTCTCTCTTCATTGTTCTGTTTCTAACAGTGAATTCCCTTGAAACGTAAGCAGAAGAAACCAGTTTCATAATTATATCTTGTGAAAGTAACTCTTTTCTAGTTTTACAGTACTTTGGTAAAATCAATATACTAATGAATCCCTTTCACAGTTAAAATTGATTCCTAAAAGTATTAAAAGATCTTAAGAATTAATTGAAAGCTGTTAACTTGCCTGAAAATAGTGTAACCTGTAGCACTTGAATACAGATGAAAATACAAAACAGTCCTTCACTGTTGCACTTAACCTGCTGCAGTTTTCCACTTGGTCTGATGAGGTTTTTCTTGAATAACATGTCCTT